CTGATACATAAAGAGGGGAAAAATGCCCCCCTACCCCCTACCCCAGGTCCTAACAACATACTTCTTTATCAGAGGTTCATTGTCAATCAATTAGCCCAGGCAGCAGGGGTCTGTGAGGTGGGGCCCCCGGGGAAACAATGGGCAGGCCTGTTGTATTACTATTTAATCACTTTTGCTAAATAAATAGAGCAGCCCAGAGGTGCTGTCATGTCAAGGGAATTTATAACAAAAAAAACTTCATTTTTCATTGGTCATTACTTTTTTTCCCTTCGGGACAAGAGAGGGTTATTACTGTAGCTTTAAGTTCCATCTTTGTGTTTCTTGCCTTTGATTCCCACTCGGACCCTGCCACTTTCTGGCACTAATTTGTCAGGCTGAACAAAGAGGGGATTTGTACCTCCTGTAAGGTCTCAATTAGGAATGGCTTCTGCTGTATTATGTGCCATTCAGAGAAGACACAATGCCGGTAATTACAGGAATTTGCACTAAATGGCTGAAGAATTCACAGCAAAACTTCTCCCCCCTCCTTGGGTTTACCCCTCCCAAGGGCTGGAGGGAAAAAAGGAAAGCAAAAAGCTCTTAATGCCAGAGAGATGTAATTACCAACAGCCGTCCCAAGAGGTTAAACAGCAGCCAAAGGAGTAAAACCATAAAAACTGACGGTGTGAAAATGGTGTGGGGATCCCGCAGGCTCACCGTCTTTCCTGCTGTCCCTTCCGTTTACATGGTCAACTTCAGTTCAGAATCAGGAATACTGCCCCACAGTGGGCCATCCAATTTCATCTCCAGATTATAAAACAGTCACACAAGAACACTTTCAAAGGTAAGCTTTGCAAGTCTTGTCACACCTAGAAGCAAGTCCCCTAATACTGAGTATAGTGCTCAATTGCTAGGTTTCTTGATTGCTGGGAAATTACAGGAAAAATATCTCTGTGTGCTAGTGTCAAGGAAACCATGGATCTCTCTGGTGTAAATAGGTAGGTGCACAAGTGAAATTCCTAACAAAGGCAGAGCTGCTGCTTTCTAATCTAATTTATAGGGCATTTTCTGAGTAACCTAACTTAGAGCCACTTACAGGTACATACGTCATAACTATTTTAATCTGTGTAGTCATCTGTTAATACCATGGATTCCCACTGCCAGACAACATTTTAAACTCTAACCAGTAATTTCACTAAAGAAGTACACCTTATTTCCTGTTACAGAGGTGTTCCTGAAAAGCTGTACTAAAGTACCCCAAATTGACTTTTTGTTTTTAAGATAGACAAAATCTCATTCTATGCCCTAGGTAGAATGTAATGGCATCCTAGCTCACAGTAATCTCAAACTCCTGGGGTCACGTGATCCCCCTTGTCTCAGCCTTCTGATTAGCTGGGTCTCCAGGTGCCCACCACAATGCTGCCTAGTTTTTCTATATTTTTCTTTTCTTTTTTTTTAGATAGAGACAGGATCTCAGGCTTGTCTCAAACTCCTGAGCTCAGGCAATCTGCCTTCTCTGTCTCCCAGAGTGCTAGCATTACAGGTGTGAGCTACTGTACTGGCCAAACTTAACTGCTTAAATACCATTCCCATCACATGCTTCTCTGTCCAGGAACCTTCAGTAACTTCAGGGTCAAACATTAAGTTCAACCTAATCAATTGCCTTTTTATTTTGCAGGTCAAAAATGATTGAAAGCCTGCATCTGCATACTGTTCCACGGTGCCATCCCTAACAGCTCTCTAATCCAATGTGTGGGCCTCGCTTCACTGGGTAGCTCCTGTCACAGTCCCTTCAGCACTCATTGATATGATTATTTGATTAAAGTCTTGTCTTCCCCAGCAGACTGCAAGTTTCGTGAGCACCAGGACTGTGCTTGCTTTCCTGCGGCATTGACTCATCCAGGTGCACACAACAAATGACAGAACGAATGGAAGAACTTAATTTTTGAGTTTCAGGAAGAAGAACCAGTAAGTGTAAAGTTGGCATGACCATAACAGGTTCCAGAAACAGCAAGAAGACCACAGTTGTTGGGGCTTCCTAAGCTCAGGGCAACCATGGATCAATCTCATATGATATGTCAATCCTATGGATCAATCACGTATGATTAGATACAAAGATCAGAAGTCCAAGCACATGTTTAAGAGATCCACAGTTCTGCACTAGCATATATTTCCAAAACCATAACCTCAGCCACTTTTGGATGGTCAAGACCCATTTTTTCTGTAGGGGCTGTTTAAGTTTTAAAGAATGATATAGAAAATTCTTCACTTACAGAAAGAATTTAATGAAATAAGGCCAAATGCACTATTTTATAAATTTAAAAGCCAACATTTGTGGCTTTTCCTGAATAGCAAGTAAATGACATCATAATAAAGAGCTACTCAGTACAATCTGCCCTTTTTAAAGTTTATTTACCCAAATTTTAAAGGGGGGAGGGCTAAGACATAGAAAGTGAGAGTCTAAAGACACGCGCACTAAAACCATGCAATACTTGAATTAGCTTGTCCTTAAAATAACGCATAAAGCCAAAACTCACTAAAAACAATGTAGTAGACTTCTTGGCATTTTGGAAGGTAAACACGCTCTAACCAGCTTCTTCACCGAATGTGTGTTTTATGAGGATGTCAAGTTAGAGGACACAGGGACAAAAGGAAGAAGCAGCAGCTGGCTTAGATTAACTACGTTTGTGAGAAACAGATCAATTTGTAAAGTTCCCACCTGCTATAATAATCTCTGATATAATGAACAGTCTCCCAAGTCATTTAAAAAACATTCAGAGGTTTGCTTAACACGTTTTTGCCGTTTTCCTTTGAGACTCTGCCCCCTACAGGAGACAACGTATTCTTACCTGAGGTAGGAAACCAATATTCAAGCGCAAGTCTTATGAAAGAAAAATAACCTGGTAAACTTCAAAGCAACGGAATGTAGCACTTTCTGATGGGAGAAGGGGCACTGAAATGAAATATATGTATATTTTTTGCTTTGCAATGTGCCACACTGTACCGATTAGGACTGACCTCTCCCCACTCATTAGAACTCTAAACCAAAGCATGAAGAAAAGCTGAGCAGAGCAAATACGTCTAAGACTATGTTACCTCTCTCCCTTGCATCCCCTACCAGGACCCTTCCCCAACCCACCCTCCAACCAGATACATTTGGTGACACGAAATTTAGACAGCAAAGGGAGGCCTCCTATTGCATGGAACCTAAAGCAGCCAGAAAGTTGCGTTTCTTACATCATAGAATGCTTCCCTTTTCTTTTCTACTTGGCTTCCTTCTCCCTCTTTTCCTCACTTTTCTTTCTTTCTTTCCTGTTTTTATTTCTGTAACTGCTGGCTGCTGTAAGCTTGCTGCCTGGTACCCTCTCCCTACATGTCTCCCCTCTCTGAGCGCTGCTAATGCAGGATATAACGTGGGCCATGCACACTCCAGGAGGAAGCAAACTGCTGAGAGGAAGTTGAATCAGGTGACGACGAGTAACACCTGAGTCTTTTCTGCCCCCTTTCACTAGCAAATTTCTTGACTCAGCCACTCTAGGCTCTACCTTGAGAAGCAACTAGAGCTGTTCTCCCTTATTTCAGGAATACAACAGATCTGACGACCCTGTCAGCAATCTAAAGAAAAGTTTACCATAATTTCAGGATAACTACAGAATAAGCACTCCTCAAATCCTTATTGAATGCCTAAACTCTGAATGCTAGTATAAGACATTGAAATGTCAATAATTTCTAAACAAAACAAAACAAAAATACCGCCAACTAAGCTGAAACTAGTATCTGTTTTACTACTCATTACTTCCACAGTCATTTTCCAAAAGTAGCTGGTTGATGTAACACAAGGACTTTCGTGCCTGCAGTTAAATGCATTTATGCAATACGGCTTCTTCACTGGCTTGGTTTTTCTGGTCTTAAATCCCACCATGCAAGTTTCTGCTCCAGAGTCACAGAGACCTTCTGGTCAAGGCCAAAATGATTTACTTAATCCCACCCTGGATAAATTATTTTTCAACAGCAAAGGCCATCATCATAACTAACCTAAATTCAAAACAGGAGTTTTCATTGTGCCACCACTACTTAGCTTTTTACCATATAGGAGCAAGGACAAAATTTAAAATTTGCTTTTAGCTGCTGGTGAGTTTCTTGTTTATTTTTAAACAACCTACTTAAATCTAATAGAACTGAATTAAAAATTCCCCAATCAGCCTTCCATTGAAGCTATCCTTATGATAAGTTCATTATTACAAATTGTGGGGTTTAATAAAAAAGGAAAGAATCTAAGTACTGGTAGATAGATACGGTTTAGTGAGGTTTTAAAAAAATTTTTTTTAAATGTTACTATCTTTGGGAAGGTGGGAAGAAGGTGGAGCAGAGGAGAAAAGCAGTAATAATGTTTTAAGAAATAAAGTTACTAATCTCCACTTTGTGTCTCATCCTTACATGTTCTAGAAGCCCAGAGCTTCCCCGTGGTGAGGCAGAGGCCCATCGTGACTCAATAGTCACCTGCTGAATCATCATCTACCCTACTTTCAGCCACCTCTAGATTTTCTGTCAAGGCTGATTTTCTATATTCCAACTTAACAGGATTTGACAAGGTCAAGATCAATGACGGTTACTAAGTACAGACATTTTCCTTGCCTATAGAGTGTTAGTAGTCAGCTTTGGGCCTAAATGCCTCCTGTGAGACAATAAGCGACATTCATAGTCAGCAAACTTTAATTGAAGAAGGCAGAGCACATGGACCCACAGCTGACTCAGGAAGCCTGAATCCTAGTTTGGTTAGGCTTCAGCCAAGCCATTTTGACTTCATGGGGTATATCATAGCTGCTTCTGTTTACTACACCAGCATGGCCTGAGGAGGGACAGATGTTTTAAAATATACAGCAAACTCTTTGGAGGAGAGATGCTTTTTATAACAGGAGGAAGCAGCGACTAGCCTAGTAAGGGGATTTTTAAAATGAATTCCAATTGTGAGAGTCAGGCCTGTTCTTTCATGAGCTTTAAGCTGAAAATTTGTCTCATACCTGCACATTTGAAACTCTGAGCAGTGAGTCCTCGTTCCAAAGACAAAGTCGTCAGAATGCTCAGGAAGCTGGTGGTCACGGACTGGCGTTTGCTCTTCCTGAGTTCCTGCCCACCCATCTGCTCCTTGGGTTTGTTCCTCAGTGTGACTTGCAGGTTTTGCTCTGAACTCCTCGCCGCATTGGCAGCTGTTTTCAGAGCCTCCATCCACTCCTGAGCCCTCTGCCGGGTCTCAGCTCGCAGACGAAGGACATCTTGGGGGAAAATGACTTGAAAGCAAGAGTCACAGCCATCCAGGTTGTCCATCTGGACAGCCAGACACACGTCCACATTGTAGCTCAACAGCGGATCCTCATCCAGCTTGCCAGGCTGGAAGGCCATCAGGTAGGCCCTGCTCAGCACAAATGAGAACGCCTTCCAGTTGTTTTGGACAGTCAGCCTGTAGAGAGTCCCTGATTTGAGGATATTTTGGTACTGTTTGGGGCTATCCAGGACTAGGGATGGTGGCAACAGCCCACTGGATTTCTTCTGTAAACAATGATTCTGTGCACAGTCCACATGATGACCAAGGCCAGGGGAGTTTGCCATGTCATCGTGCCGTCTCACGTACCCAGGCACAGTGGCATGTACGACCTCCCAAAGCTTCTGCCCCCAGTCCAAAGCCTCCCACGGTGACTCTGCCTTAAGCTGCAGCTGGGTGTTGTCATACAGAACAGTATCCACCATCCTGGCCTCGAGGTTGCCCAAAACAGATATGCTCTGGAAGTGCGAAAGCTGGTACGTGGCATAGAGGTTTTGATTCCCGCTGCCGTCGAGGCTGTAGAAGCATAAGTTGTAGGGTGAAAGTTCTGCATAACAGCTTTGCCAATAACTGTCATGGTCCTTCCTAATCTCCAGGTAACCCTTCTTGAGAATATTTGGGAATGTCTGTTTGTGTTCTAGAAAGAAAAAGAAGAGGCAAAGTATGAATTAGTTACGAGAAGATAGGTGCAAGAAACCAAGCAGATCAGAGACTGGTAGCCTTCTAGTTTAAACTACACAAAGCAGAAGCAGTAGAATTCCAAGATGGCAGCTAAGTGCCAAGATGTAGCTAGGGGAAATTTTGAGTCTAAAAAACTGAACGAGGATGGAATTACAAGTGCAAGAGTAAGCATGGGGTGTACAATGTCAATGTGACATGGAGAGGTCTGTAGGGGAAACAGAAATAGTGGAATAACTGTGACTGGCTATACCCTTGGGTCTGGGAACCGACCACACCCTGACAGGGCTCGTTGTTTTCTAGGGAACATTCTTCAAAGTACAAATACTCGAGAGAATGTTCCTTCCGCCACTTGACCTAACTTCTTGCTAACACTCTTATCTTTTCTGAGGCTGGTAAAGCCAGGAAGGGTCAGCAGAAAGGAGACAGCATAAAGTGTGCTGCCTACAGGCCCCTTGTTGGCCCTCAAGGCCATTCAGGAGCCTCTGTCTAGTGACCAGTTCTCTGGGCTTGACCTGACTAGCTCACTTTTTAGGTCTCTGCTTAAATAGCAGTTTTCTCTCTGAGTTCACTGTGATTGTGCTGTTTCCTTGGCTTGCAATGTCTCTTCCCTCTGCTCCAAGCAGTGACCACACACCCTCTTCCATGAAGGGAGACAGTCCTGACTCACCCTGAGTCAGAAGGTCAGAACAGGGATCCCTACTATAGTATTCCTCTATCATGAACTCTTATCAGGGTGTAATATGATAGTTTATTTAAATTGCTGGATAAATAAAATAAACTTTAAAGTTCTTTTTTAAAAAATATATCTTCGGTACTTCTCTGGACTATAAGCCCCACTGAGAGCAGGAGTGAGGTCTCTTTTTTCATCTGTATATAAAAACATGTAGGGGCCTGCCTGGCACATAGTAGGTGCTTAATAAGTACTTGTTGAATTAGAAATAAAGCTCCTAACATAATACTCAGCATACAGTAAGTGCAATTGCCTTCCCTTCCTCCCTCCCCTCCCCATTGATTAAAGATAGCCATGCCATCTTTAATCAATATTAGCTGCAATACATACCAATTTAGTACTTGAATAAAAGGGGACTGTCACTTGAGAGACTTTCTGATACTTTTATCAGACATGAAAATAACATCCATGCAAGTGAGAGCACTTCTCCCTGGTAGAGATTTTGATTTCTGAGATGTTTCTCAATCTCTCTGCTGGCACACATTGGAGACAGTCATAAACTAATTGAGTCATCCCCCAAAGAAGACAGATCACACTGCCAGAGGGTATGACTTCTGCTTTTGGCTGCAGATCTAGATCTTAAAATAGCAAACCAAAAGAGAAAAGGAGAGATGAGGCAGGCAGCCTTACCTGCTTTACATCTCTGGTCCTGACATTCATTAGTATGTCTGTGGTAACTCAAAAGCCATTAATTTCTTGCAACCCACACTAATCCCTTTGTAGAAAGAGATAATGGATGTCTATTTGCAGGTTATCTTTCTTGTCTGATAATGCAGTAAGGGAGGCAGCGCTGTCAGAGACGCTGCTGCTGCCTCTTCCCCCTCTCACTTCCATTGAGGGTTCAACCTTTTCCATAATAAAGATTGAAAACATGTCCCTCTAGCCCCATCCCTCCTTGAGACCCAACAGCTCACCTGAATCCCTGAGTAAAATAAAAACCACCTCTCTTGCTTTTAGCTACAATTTTTCCTCTTTTCTTATATCCCAAGAGCTTTTAACAACAGCTCCCAGGAATTAGAAATTCTACTTTAATTGAGCCCAAACTAGCAGCAAACCTGACTAAAACATCACTTCTTGCTGGCTGTTTAAGCGAGGGTGGTAGATGCCAGCTGGGGTGGGCAGAGACGATGGGCTAGGGAGTCTCCAAAGTTCCCTCACCTTCTAGATGCAGAATAGGGGTAAAGAAGGCGTTAAAGAAGGTGTGCCAATATTTTATTTCCCACTCAGTAAGCAACGTCTCTCCTGCCTGTTCCCCCACCCCAGCTTCAGCCCTCTCTAAACAGTACATTAAATTGGACAGAAAAGAAAGGGTGTTAATCACAGGAAATGTCCTACTCTTACAGACTGCAGTTTTGTAGTGTAATTTCTTTAAAAAACAGGAATCAAGAAGAAGATAGATAATGTGACCAGGAAAGTATTCTCTGGTGTGCCTATTCCACTGGAGGGATGGAGGGCTTGTTTATATCTATCATATTTCCTTCCTTCCTTCCTTCCTTCTCCTCCCTCTTTTCCTTCCTTCCATTTTTTAGAAATAGGATCTTGCTCTGTCACCCAGGCTAGAGTGAAGTGGCCAGTGGCATAATCACAGCTCACTGAGCCTCAAACTCCTGCCCTCAAGCAATCCTCTTGCACCTGGCTTACTTACTTACATATTTTTAGAGATGGAAGTTATATGTGAGTGTGTGCAGGTTCTCACTATGTTGGCCAAGCTGGTCTAGAACTCCTGACCTCAAGCAATCCTCCAGCCTCAGTCTCTGGAGCTACTGGGATTATAGGCATGAGCCACCACACCTCACTCTTACTGATATTTCATGTGTGCTATATTAATTATCTTTGACTACAGAGTAGTACAGAACTGCTATTACTCTTTAGTCTCTAACAACTGCTACTCTTCATTGGCTCTGAAGTTTCTTGCTAGGATTTTTTGCTACTGACAAATCAGAAGCTCTACATTTAAATTTAAGCTTTCCTAGTTTGCCATAGCATAACGTTTGTTTCCACAGACCGTATCATGTCAACTCATTTAATTAACCCTACACAAATTCTTTTAAAGTGTTCAATTTCACAAGTGAATAATATAATCTTACAAATGAATAGCATCAGGTAATAATGCATTAAACTGTTCAATTTCATTAATGAGTAATATAATCACAAATGAAAACAGTTAACCATTCAACAACATGGGTTTGAACTGCATGTGTCCACATATATGTGAATTTTCTTCTGCCTCTGCAAGACCAGCTCCTCTTCTTCCTCCTCCTCCTCAGCTATTCAACCTAAAGGCAAGGGTGCAGACCTTTATGGGGATCTATCCCTACTTAATGAATGGCAAATATATGTTCTCATAATTTTTTTACCTTTTCTTTTTGCTAGCTTGCTTTATTGTAATAATATAGTATATAACACATATAGCATACAACACGTGTTAATCAACTGTTAGTTATTGATAAGACTTCCGGTCAACAGGAGGCTCTTAATAAAGTTTTGGGGGAATCTAAAGGTGTATGCATGTGTGGATTTTCAACTGCCCAGGGGATGGGCACCCCGAATCCCTGAGTTATTTAAGAGCCAAATGTAATATAATTCACTTTACCTAATATCATAAGTGATTCAGATAGGATCACTTACTAACAGTTAGTGTTAATTAGTAACTGTTAGTTTACTAACAGTTCCTTCTTCATCTTCTTTTTTAATGCTGTGTGTTCACTAAAGAAATTGGTTCATCTGCCCTGTAGAATTTTCTGCCTTCTGAATTTGGCTGAGTATATATATTCATGGTGTTGCTTAAATGTTCCTGTTTCCCACTTTTCTGTCAAGTACTACTTGTATGTTGAGGATCAGTCAGTTTTTTGCCCACTTTCAAGGCTGTTAAGATTAGTTAGGGGTTCAGAGTGTATTAGCCTCTGATGTTCCTTTCCAAAGTTCCTGGGAGCCTCCATCTCAGGCTGTGTCTCTCGCTGACGCCCCACCCTGCAGTCGGCTGGCTGGACCGCTGTTTTCTACCACTCGTCCTCTCCAGACCTTCATGCATTTTCTCCTACCAGTCCCCCACCTCGATTGCCCTTTCTCGCAGCTTCTCCGCATTCTCTTACTTTAGGACTAGGACACAATCTCACCTATTCCTGAAGTCTTTCTTCATCCCCACCCCTTGAAAGCAGCCCTCCTCCTCTGAACCGTGGCTCTATGTCTACACTACTCTTATGACTCGCATCTTCTTTGGCATATATTCCACAAACTATTCCATATTCACAAATATTTATTAAATCTTATAATAAGATTATATCCAAATTCAATAAGAAATGTAAAAAGCAAAAACGTTTCTGCCTCTATACCCTAGCATCCACAATCCTGCTTCCTAGACTGTGGACTATTCGGTATGAACCTTTAGACATTTTCTATCAGTATACATGTATATAAATAAAATAATTGGGAATGCCAATAAACATATATTGGCATATGTAATTATTGAGTAATTTATATGCTTTCATTTTGGTTAGTTTATGAAAGTTTGTCTTTTTAAAAAACACCATTTCTGGCTCGGCGCCTGTAGCTCAAGTGGCTAAGGTGCCAGCCACATACACCTAAGGTGGTGGGTTCGAATCCAGCCCGGGCCCGCCAAACAACAATGACAGCTGCAACCAAAAAATAGCTGGGTGTTGTGGC